ATTTAAAGAAGAATCTACTTCCTACCTAAACACAGATCTATGAATACTAAGAAAAAAAAAACCTCAAACCAGACAGCAAGAAAATGTAAAGAAGTATCATTCCAACTCAGCTCAAACAAACAAAAAAAGATATAGTTGTATGCAAAAGTTTAGATATGTCTTTGAAATGCTTATTTCAAAGCATTTGAAATCTCTAAATCCCTACATTAATAGAAGCTGACATAACTTCTATATGGTACAAGATTAAACATGATGTCTCTATGCAAATATGAGTATATACTGGTACTTCCTATTTATGTGCAGTTGTTTACACATAAGAAAAAGAAAAATGGCAGGTACAGAATATTGGACATTTTTTCACTTACTAAATTCCAACTCTTCATTGGCACAATTAATGGATTTCAAACAATATCTGTAGTGAAAGAAGAATCCTTCTATTCTTGCTTTTAGGATTTTTTGTCCATTCTTCCTTGGAGAACTTTCTAGTTCAGAAATGTTCTTCTATTTGATTATGCTATACATTTGATATTTCTCTCCAGATTTTTCAATAGTATTCAACTGCGAGAAATGTGAAGGACATCCAAAAATCTTTTATCTCTCCTTCCTATTTCACAATTGATTCGGAAATGTGTTTCACATTTTTATCTTGTTGAACTAGTCAACCTTTTTTTTCCAGTATCTTCCCTGCCTGCAGGACTTCTAGGATACATTGATACCAAGATGAATGTATTTCTTCCTTTTACCAGCACATTTCCTTGACACTAGATGTCACACAACCCCAAAGCATAATAGAACTTTTGTTGAGTCCTTGATGCTTTCTGAGCTGGGTTGTATGCTTGCAGACTACCTAACTAGGTAACACCATCACTGCTAATGAGGGTAGGATTTGCTTTCTATTTATATATAGTAGCTTGGCCTTCCAGAGTTGATGTGATTCTCCTTGGTAGTTCTTTCAATTGGCAAGATGGTGTTTTCTTCAAACTTATTTGATGTAGGCAAACATTTCAATTTGAATTTAATCAGATAAAATTATTTCAAACTTATTGAAGTTCCCCCCCCCCCATATTTTAAACAACTTCTGTAATGACGTCAGAGATGGAGAAGGAGAGAGAGAGAGAGAGAAGGAGAGGGAAAGGTTGAGATTCTCTCATGCAGTTCATTGTGTATAGGCAGTGTTGTACTGTGTATCTATAGACATATACTACAGTGCAATTATACTTTTGAGCAGGTTGTTGACATGATTTGTGGATTCTGCTTTGTAGATCTAACTAGATTTCAGGTAGCTTTAGTGAAGATTTCTCTTGATTTTCCAAATCTTCCCTTGTCTTGATTTCAACAGTTCAATATAACTTCCATTTCTTAACTCTGTTTGTCACAGCTGAAATTGGTAGCCAGAAGTCTTTAGAAAATTGTTTATACCCTCACCCTGCTTTGTAAGAGTAAATTATCTTCATTTTGTATTATGTAGGAGTTGTGTCAGCTTCTATTCACTTAAGGATTCATTGAAGTGTACAGTTTGACCAGGGGTGCCTAAACTTTTGCATCTAACTGTAAGCCTGACAGTCATGCTGTTGAATAGTCCAGTCCCTATTTTGACAAATCTAGCTACCCCTGAGGGCATTTTACTCAATCAATCTTTTGGCAGAATTATTCCTGCTCTCTTTTTCCTTGGCTTTTCCATCCAAAGGACACTTCCTTATTTGAACTCCCAGTACTTTTCTTTTATGAAATATTCTCTCCCATTTTCATGTAGAATAATATGACATTAGCTTGTTAGCAGCTGCATATAACAACCATATGATTTATATGGTTTATACCAAACTCAATTTGGAGCCTGAATAGAGTAATCGAATGCTTAATCTTATGTAGCCCCCAAAGTTCAAATGAGCCTATTGTAAGCCTTCTTTAGTTAAAGCTAAAATAACTTCTCAAAATAGGTAGTACTCAACTTACGACCACAATTGTGCCCAAAATTTAGGTTGCTAAGTGTGGCAACATACGTTTTTCAACCTTTTCTTTAATCTTTAATCTGGAATAAAGAGTGCTTTTGTTTTTCCCGTGTCTCAGAGATCTCTTTTAGCTGTAAAATAGCTATAATCAAACATGCTTAAGAAAGTGAGAATTTTAGGGGAGCTAGTTTCCTTATAGACTACACTGCAGGTGTGAGTTTATTGACTTCTCTCTTACTCCCATCTCTCAGACTCTGGGTTCCAAGGAGAAGCTGTCTGAAGCATAAGTGGATGATCTTGTTTTTTCTTGTTGATTCTTGTTTTTTCATTGTGAGGAGAGGCTCTTTTGGCCTGGGTTTCTCACCCAGCCATTGTCTTAGTCTGCCATTCCCTGACCTGTAGATAATTTACTTAAGCATATTTTTGACTGAAGGCCAGGTTGAACATTTATGAAATAAATAGCATAACATGCCCTGATTTGTTCTTAAATCATGTTTAATGTATTTGTACAGAACACTCTTCTTTTTCTGTTACAGACACTTCAACAGGAATGTATAAGAGGTACTTTGCATGTAAATTTTTTCTTTTCTTTTTATAAAACAAATTGAGAACAGGTATGCCAGGTACCTTACATTTTTTGCTTTAGGATTTTAAGAAAAATGATTTTAAAAACATTCAGATTTTGTTACATTGCTATGCCCAATACAGCTCCGAAAAACCTTAAAAAGGCTCAGGTTATATGTGGACACTCCACCCTCTGCCCACTTCTTAAGGTGCCAAGAAGTGCTGACTACCAGCTTTCTACTCTCAAGGAACTAATGATCTTCTGGATTCTGATTGAGATCTGTCACTTTCAAGCTCTCTGAATAGGCCTTGCCACCAGGGGACTGATAGTCTTCTACCCTCTAACTGGAGATTGTCAGTTTCTCACATTTGGGTGTTATTGTCACAGTGAGGTACTGATCATCTTCTGCCTGTTGCATGGAGCCAACATTTCCTTCCCTTGGGAACAATGACTTATTCATACATGCACCCAACTGTACATATGTATGCTACATTTTATCACTCTGGCAATCCAATTTGTGTACATTTAAATTATATTCCCATTTGTTCTTTTTCAAGAACCAAACCAGGATTAATCTTTTGTTTCTTTTCTGAAGCTCAGAAATGTTTTTCATACAGTGAATTATTTCTATCTCTGCCTGAAGGTCAACTAATGGTTATTAATTGTTCTATACATATCAGTGGGAAAGGAGAGGAAAGAGAAGACTGCATAGTAAAGGGAGAAGAGAGGCAAAAGGGTGGGGGGAATCATAGGGCTGGAAGGGACCTTGGAGGGAGGGGTCCTTATTCCATTCCAGGCAAATGGTTGTCCAATCTTTGTTAGAAAACCTCCAGCAATGGAGGAATTTCTCTTCACCCACAACTCTTGGAGGCAAGCTGTTTCATTGATTAATTGTTCTCACTGTCAAGAAATTCCTCCTTTAAAAAAAGCTTAAGAAGGAAGCTTAAGGAAAGGGAAGCTTCTTTTGCCAAACAGGAAGCAAATGTCTCCTGTGGCTTGTAGTTGATGTGTTCAAAGATATGGTTTGATGAAAGAGAAGAAAACTATCCTTTCTGCTTGCAGCATCTTCCCTTCCTTTTAAAACTCTTAAATTCATTTTCTATTTGACAATTTTGCCTTCTAATTGGTTCCTTCACCAAAGTGGGAGTAGGTGGATCGTTGAAATCTCAAAAACTTTGCTGAGATAAAGCGACTTCCTGGGTGAAGCCTGCTGCTGGTGGCAGTAAAAAACCAGCTTCCTCTGAATTCCTGGCTACGTACCTGTTTAGAGGATCTTCTATCTGACGTCTTAACAGGTTCTCTTACCCTTCAGGCAAGAAGGAAAGAAGAAATAGTTTTGCTGGCAAATGCTCTTCGATTTTTGCAGCTTTTTGTGCTTGCAGAGAGAGGGGGGCTAGCCCAAAGCAGAACGACCTCCGTGCTGGGAACTTCAAACTGCCTTGTGCGGAACAAAGTAGGTCTCCCCCACTCAGTTCAAAGTTTTGATTGATTTAATCTTATCACGAGCTGGATCCGTTTGTGTGGACAATAATTGTTTATCATAATTTGGCTAGTGTTCCATCACTCAGGCTGGGGGGGCAAA